AAAAAATTGGTTCTTTGTATATGCAGGGTTTTGCATCCACAAATATTGTATTTTTGATCCAAATTTGGTTGAAAGAAAGACCCCAGTATGATTGGACCTGCATAATTTAAATCCATGTTGTTTAAGGGTAAACTGTAGATTGTTTTGAATTAATAGAGATGGAAGAACTATGAACCAAATGCAATGTGTGATCCCTGACTGGACTCTAATTTAAACAATACAGCCAAAAATACATTTTGCAACTACTGGGAAAATTTGAATAAATTTCTAATTCCTTCTATGCCTTCCCTTCTGTGTTCTAGCCATAGTTCTTACCTTAGAACAGCAGGTTTAGCATAAAGCCACCGGATAGCTTCAGAATTAGAAAACTTTATAAAATGCAAGTTTCTCAACACAGATTCATAACTAATTTCCTCCTCCTCTACATATTGTACATATCTCTATGGTCTGTGTTCTGTTTTTCATCAGATAAATGTAATAAATCAAATATTCCAAGTCACATATTTAGAATTATATCTTTCACTTTGGTTACTATAATTAGATTTTAGATCCCTTAAAGGTATTGTTATTTTATTAGATTTGATAGAGGAGGAAAATGCCTTTAATTTTAAGAGATCCGTACTATTGAGAAACAGTACCTTAATATGTTTAGCACACAAATTTTCAATATAGATAAACCTAAATTCTTACAATCTTAAAATAATAAAACTGATATAACTTGAGGAACACCAAAGATACTCACTAACACGTTCGTGTAGAAGCAGGTAAGGATATTTGAGTATTTCAAGAAGAGGAACTCGAAGCTTATTTTCAAAGTCTTGGCCAGTAAAGTCAAACAGTTGTGCCTCTCCATTGTTGTCTACTATATATAATTCATCATCCTCTCCAATTTCTGCCTTCATGGATTTTTCGAAGTGATTTATGAGACGTGAGGTTTCTAATTCCCATAAAACCTAAAAGAAAAGAAAAATGGGCAGTGTGCTTTATATCAACATAATGCACTGGATATGATGGTCATTCTAGAAAGCCTTTTCCTAAGTATAAATATTCAGAAATTTAAACTACTATACATATTAGATTTATTTAAAGAAAAATTACTTAATCAGGGTCACTTTTATGAGATAAGAGTTTGAATACACAGAGTATGAGATGTTTAAACACTTTTCTTGCGGAGCTTTGCTATAACTATCTTAACATCCCTATCAACTATACTATTCAAAAGGAAATGAGAATCTGGAGCTTTTTGTCAAAGTTGTGAGCCAGGCCTTCTGTGCCTTCCCTTCTGTGTTCTAGCCATAGTTCTTACCTTAGAACAGCAGGTTTAGCATAAAGCCACTGGATAGCTTCATAATTAGAAAACTTTATAAAACGCAAGTTTCTCAACACAGATTCATAACTAATTTCCTCCTCCTCTACATATTGTACATGTCTCTATGGTCTGTGTTCTGTTTTTCTTGAGATAAATGTAATAAACCAAATATTCAAAGCCACATGTTTAGAATTATATCTTTCACTTTGGTTACTATGACTAGAAAATATGCTTGCCCTTTGGTTTATACCATTTATCCATTAAAAAACAAAAAAGAAGGAAAGTTATTAACCAATTAAAACTCATGTCATTCAGATTCAAGAATGTAGCACTGACAAATATATTGTCATAAAAGAGTAAAATAACCAACCCCATGACTCCATTTGATAAAATTATTTTATACCAAAATGACTAAATGCAACAGATCATAAAATTCTGCTTTAGGTTTCAATTCAATTCCATCAGTGATAAGCATTTACTCAGTACCTACTATATACCAGGTAATGAGTTAGGCACTTGAGATATATTAGGCTTCAAAGTTTAAATCATATCATCATTTCTGCAAATGCTTCCACAGAGCTCAAACTTATTCTCTTCCTATTTATCAAGCTCTGAAAAATACTGCCCATCTAATATAAATTACCTCATGCAAGAATGGTACTTCATCTCTTGCTTTGTGGTATTCAGTCACACACTCTAAGCAGTAGCAGAGGTCTTCATCAGCTGTTTGAAATTCACTGGATTGGGTCTTAGACACATAGCACTTTAAGAAGTCAATGGTGGAAACACCACCTGGCGTACACCAACAACATGTGGTCATTCTGCACCTACAGCCAGAAAAGATGACACCTAAAGACTCAAGAAAAAATTAACACTTCAGGCCAATTCTGTGTGAAGAAGAGGTACACTTCCTACTTGTGACCCTGTTCTTCAACTTAAAATGTTCCTCCATAGCCAGAACATTCTGCTGGCTAGCTTATCACTGACTAAACTCAAATCTGTGAACACTCTTAAAAATCTTTTATCTTTGCTCATTCAAGGCTGTGCGTGCAGAAAGATTAAAAAAAAATCTTTTGACACATAAAAAATATTAAGAAATGAAAGCACTCTACTTGTAATAAACATCATAAGTGACAGGATGGCCTTGCTAATAAGTTAACAGGGAAAAATGAATTATCTAACCTGCAGTCTCTAAGTAATGGCATGTACCTTAACTCTTGTCTTTAAGATTAATCACATGAGCTCTCTCACAAACTGATCACCTGCGGAGATCATTACACAGCATCTGAAAAGAGCTGAGAAGACAGAAAGAAAGTGTAAATTCACCTTGCCAAAGAAATCCAGACCCAGCAGTGAAAACGGTGGTTGCTGGTTGGCTAACAATAGAAGAGGCTCTATTATCAGCCGACCAGCAACCACCATTTTTTTCCCCTTTCTCTTTGTCTCCATAAAACCCTCCAGCTCCTTCTACTCCTGGCCGGCACTTCCCCTTCTTCCTTCACGTGCTGTACCTCTTTGCCCTCTCTCTCCCTTTCTCTCTCTCAGAGAAAATAAAATAACTTCTTCATATCCTAATCTTTGTGTTGAGAATTCTTTTGCAAGCCTGCGTAGGAATTCCCATCCCACCTTAACCCTAATAATAAAGTAATATATAGTTGTGCTACAGAGAAGGCTCAAAATTATGTAGTACTTATGGATAATACATAGAGAAATAGACCTAATCAACATTTCCAAAGTACAGATTTTGAAGTGTTGTATCATAGAAATGCATTAGAGTCAAAGGAAAAAGCTCAGGAATCCTTTTGCATTCCCAAAAGCCATGTTTCAGAAATCTCTGGAAACATAAAAATCCATAAATATTAACTTGTACAAATAACAAAAACTCATATAGATGTGAAAGAAAAATGGATAGTCTATTCCAGACTTCTGAAAGTTGTCAGTGGTTGGGCGCAGTGGCTCACACCTAAGCTCAGGATTTTGAAACCAGCCTGGGCAACGTAAGAAGATCCCATCCCTACCAAAAAAAAATTGCTGGGCATGGTGGCACATGCCTATAGTCCCAGCTACTCAAGTGGCCGATGAAGGAGAATCATTTGACCCCAGGAGCTCAAGGTTACAATGAGCTATGATCAAGCCACTGTGCCTGGGCAACAGGGCGAGACCCTGTCTCAAAATAAATAAATAAAAGTTGTTAGGTCCTGAGGAAGACTGACCTTTGGAGATAGTTATGGAGCTTGACCTCTTAATCACTGACCTTTTGCTATAGGTTAATGTCCTTATTTTCTTGTGACTGGCTCAGACCAGATGACACCTGAGGTAAAAGACCCCAAGACTACTACACACATAATGTGAAATGTTAAATATACCGTTCCCAAAAGGAACACTGCCTATAACCAATCAAATTGCTGTAACTACACACTAACCTCGTATAGAAAATGTTGAAATCTTATTAAGCTTCCCCAGACACTGCCTATATAAATGGCCCTCAAACATCTTTCTAGTTTGGAGCACTAACTCCACCTTTTAGAGTCTGTGTTCTCCCAAGTGGCCATCCTCAAATTTGGCACTCAAATAAACTCAGTATTTAATTATATTGTTTGAATCTGGTTACTAAGGTTGACACAGAGAAGGACTTTCTCTTGTTTACAAAGCACTTATATGAACTTGCATATACTTATGTATGAACTGCTGCCCATAACTCACTGCTCTTCAATGCACTGTAAACTCTAATAGCTACAAATGCTAACTTATTGCTACTAAGTTTAATACTTATAGTTCTGACCTTCTTCAACTTTGTTTTTATAATACCATCAGAGCCTCTGCAGTATAAACTCAAAAGTAAAAGGCTTAAAATGAAATAATCTTCCAAATCCTAGAAATCTCAAAGACAGCAAGTGAGCTAATATAGTAACAAGAAAGAGGAAATCCCAAGAACGAAACTGTTCAAAGGTTTGAATGAAGACCTATAAGGTGGGTTTATCAGAAATGCAGATGGCATGAAACTGAGAGGATTAGCGAATAGGATGGAAGCCGGAATCCAAAGAGGTCTCCAGCTTTAAAAAGATATAATAAAAATAAGCTAAAATCCTACAGTCCTATCCCTATAACTAAATACATCTAAAAGCTAAAAGACCTCATCTCTAGAAAGAAATACAAAAATTAGCTGGGCGTGGTGGCGCACACCTGTAGTCCCAGTTATTCAGAAGGCTGAGCCAGGAAGATCATTTGAGCCCAGGAGTTTGAGGTTGCAGTGAGCTGTGATGACACCACTGTACTCAGGCAGGCAACAGAGCAATATCCTGCCAAAAAAAAAAAAAAAAAAAAAAAAGAAGGAAAGAATGGAAAGAAAAGAAAGAAAGAAAAAAAAGCTAACAGAAGGCTGTTAGCAAACAGTATATTGTGGCTAAATAAAAAGCAAATGTCTTCATTGATAATTCATTGAACAAATAAATAGGCTGGGGCAGGGAAAATGCAAAGTAGGTCTAGAGGATCTTACTGTGCCAGAGAGTCAACCTAGAATAGCTCCCTGTGGCTAAAGCTGAAACAATTTGAACAAAATAAATAACGTAATATTGGATTATAACCCAAAGTATAAAATAAACATATATGAATCCATACTGATATAAATGACTGAAAAAACGGGAGAGAAGGGACAGATCTTCCTTTAAAGTACATATTTTATTTGCACTTCAGTCCCTTAAGTTTTTAAAGTTTAAATTGACTGTAATCTGTTACCTGCCAAAAATCATGCATAAAAGAACTGATGTTTGAGAAATCTCTGTGGAGTTTCACTTTCTATTCTTATAATTTTCTTAAGTTCACTTTCCACGTTGAATCAGATCACCGGAAAAAAAAAACAGCTTCCTCAAATTGTTAACCTCCTAGTATTATGGTATTGGCCATATATGGAATTCCAAATAAGATATATAGATACTCCCTGTTTCAGAAGGTGAAGCTTAACCACAATCCCCAAGCACAGTGCGGGCTTAACTTAGTGAATCACCTCCAAAGAAGAGTCTGGAAAACGAAGAAGCATGGAGACCCTGGCAAACATAGCCTTACCAGGGATAAGCCATGTTGACACACCCCTGACATAATGCAATAAGGAGATAATCTGAACTCTGTGGTTTGAAAAACACCCTTTCTAAAAACCCATGACCCCAGACCATTCATGAAAAAAAAAAATCAGACAAACCCACATTAAGTATTATCTAAATAATTATCTGTCAGTCTGCATCAAAAAGAAGAAAACCACACCCAAGGAGAATCCAGTGTTGTTTCATATTGGGAATTGGCCAGAAAATTATCCAACAGACCTATTTTCAGAAACTTGATTCTAACTATCCAAGGGAGGTAAAATATCAACCTAAGGGGGTGGGGGGATGGCAGGGATGACAAAACCAACTACAAACTTAACGAAGTTCATTTCATAAACTTGAATGGATCTAACCCATGCATTTTCATCAGGAGTGAAAGCCCTCTAAAGGGGATGAAAACTAGTTAGTGGAACATGAAAAATTCCTACTCTTTTCATGTATAAAGCCCAGATACACAGTAAAGAAATACATAGTACATTGGTGCTATTAAAATTCATGGGAGGGGCAATTAGAAAAGCTGTCAAAAAAATCTCCTTTCAGGGAAAAAAAGGGACAATAGAGGGTTAAGAAACCTAAGCAAAGTCACTGAATACCTGGGTATGGAAATCCGACAGTGTGAGATTTTTCAATGAGTATTGCCCTAAAATTCAGAGTACATAATCTTTGCTAATGGGAAATCAATTTAACATCTCTACAGAAATTATGCTTTACTGTAAGGCTTTTGTGGCATAATGTCAGTTTCTAAAATAAATTATTTTTTAAAAAATTGTCTA